GACCATGGTTCCAGCACATGAACCATTTTGGAGACACTCAAACCATAGCCAAACTCTGGCACCCCTTTCTGGCACCTGTGAGCTCAGCTCAGGAATGGGTACCATAATCAAGTCCTCCGAAGGCCCCTGGGGCTGAACTTTCAAAAGCACAAGGAGCCAGACAAAAGCCTCCCCTAACCACGGGGTGAGTTACCTGGAAGAGTACAAGAACCCCACTTGCACGGACAGAAGCGGGTTGCTTATTGGATCCCGAACACAAGAAACTTCACTGGGTAACAAGGTAAATGAATGCATAGCTCTGTTCACAAAAGCCAAGGCCCACAAGCTGCTTGTTGCTCCCAGTAATGGGAGCTTCGGAATGCAGTTAATGGGTTCGTATAGTTTTTATTGTAAAAGCAAACTAAATTAAACTGATAGTTTTAATTAAATTTGAATTGGCTGTGATTTTACTCAGTTTTAAAGGCCACTTGAGACACTAGTGTTGCACTTAAAATCTAGTGTTGTAATTAGTGACATCTACATTTATTATAATGGTTACTGCACTTTATTGAATTTATTCAGGAGTAAACAAAAGCTCAGCATCTAAAGAGCCTGTATTCCAGCATCGGTTGGCTTTGGAAGCCTGTTTTATCTTTCCTAGGATGTCAGATGACAATGCTGATCTCAGAAAGAGAGGTTCATGCTTCAGCCACCCAGCCACAGACTGAGACCTTGGGTTACCTCAAGTCAGACTCATCTTGAACATTGTAATGATGCTTTTGTTGCATCCAGTCTCTGGAAAGTACAAATTTTGTGCATGTTAAGCATCCTTCTGTTTCCTGGTGCGTCTGGACTTCAAGGTCCATGTTTTAAGCTGCATATTTTTGTCTTCTTCAAACTCACATAGCAACCCTAGCCCTTAGTAGAAAGGAATTCAGGCAGAGACTCTGGGAGATGAGCTCATGAACAGGGAGTCCCCATGATGAGGTTGGGGTACTTACAAGAAGACAAAGAGACTGGAGCTGGCTTGCTGTCTGGCATGTGAGGGTCCTGCCCAAAGTTGTCCACCAGTAAGGTGGGCAGACAGCCTTTCCTGGAAGCTCGATAAGCCTGGTCATGTGCTTCTTTTCAGTCCCCAGAGCAGTGAGAGGTCAGTTTCTGTTGCTGAAACTACCCAGTGCTTTGTATAGCTTCCGTCACCTGCGAGTTCAAATCTGCACTCTCAAGCACCAACTACTATGATCTGGAAATCAGAAGAGCCCTTCCAGAAAGTGCTGGAAGGGAGGAGACTGCAGGCTTCCTGAGAGAGGCATTGCATGGGTGGCTCTGCCCTGGTCAAGTCAGCTCCAAAACAGTGACTTGCATAACTTTGGTGTGGGAAGCATCCTCTCAGAGAGACTTGGCTTGTTAAAAACAATCTCCAGGGCCTCTTTAGAAATTCTGGTGTAGTAAGCGAAAGGCAGGAGAAAGAAAATTAACTGGTTGCCTCCTTCTCTGTTCTCACGTGCAACACAGGGCACTCTGACACTGCCTGTTGGAAGTGGACTTTTCTTGCAGGTGTGTTCAGTTCTCAGGCAGACACACGCTGGGCATCTGTCATGGTTTATGTCAGTGGCCCCCAAGCCTCATGCAATTATGGACTCGACCAAATCTAATGTTTATGATCGATTCATTGCCTAGTGCTTGGATTGGTGGTGTGAGTGCTCCACCCTCCTAGGAGTGGAGCCAGCATATGATTAATGGCAGGAAGAAGGTGTGTCCCTCTCTGTTGCTGGTTTGCACCTTGCTGTTCGCAGTGACCATGAATGGCTGCTCTGCCATGCCACGCTGCCTCGGAGCTAACTGAGTATGGACTGAAAGTCCAACCTGTAAGAAATAAACCTTTCCTTCCTTCATTTTGGGTTTTGGGTATTTTGTCCAAGCAACGAGAAAAAAGTAACTAAGACAGTGTCCCATGATTTATCTCAGTTCTGACACTGTCTACCTTGAGGTAGCGTCAGAGCCCACAGGCTTAGGGCTCAGTCTTGTGAAACCATCCCCACTTCCAGGGCTTCTGCAGCTTCTGACTGACAGGCTCTAAATTGGGGGTTACCAGGTCCCCCTTCTCAGGTTCCATCATTTGCTAGAGTGGCTCACAGAACCCAGGACAGCAACTAACTTATACTTACTGATTTATTATATAGGCTACAGCTGAAGAGCCAGAGGAAAGCCATGCATAGGACGAGGGCTGTGGGGAGGGGTCCACTCCCCCCTTCACCTCTCTGTGTTCAACCCACTGGGATCTTTCAGGACTTCGTAGCTTAGGGTTCATACCTAGGCATGACTGATGATTAACCTGATCTCAGCCTCCCTCCTTTCTTAGGAGGGTGAAGGGTGAGGCTGTTCCAAGCTTGTGACTCCTAACTGAGTCTTTCTGGGGACCAGTCCCTGTACAGGAGCCCTAGAAGAGCCACCTCGTTAGAGTAAAAAATGCTCCTGCCACCAGGGACTTAGAATGTCTGTGTCAGGAAACAGATCAAAGACCAAACATGAGAATCAAAGATTCTCTTAGCAAGCCCATTTCTCAGAAAATTATAAGGGTCTGAGTTCTGTGTCACGAACCAGTGGTGGAGACCAAATTCTTATGTTCCAATACCACATTAAGTATACAGGCAAAACTTTAGTTGAGACAGGTTATTTTTTGGTCTCTTTTTTGAGACAGGGTCTCATTATGCAGTTTTTGCTGATCTTGAGCTCACTTTGTAGCCCAGCTGCTCTTGAACTTGCAACGATCCTCCTGTCTCAGCCTCCTAAGTGCTGGGATTACAGGTGTGCACCACCATGCCCAGCTGGTTGAGACATTTTATTTTAAAGCATTAATTTTAATCTAATGAACTCTTCCAAAAATAACCCTGATATACAGAAGTAAGAGCATTTCTCAGAGGATTGCTGGGTTCTGCACTCGGATAGGAAGTCCACATAGGGACAATCTCAGTTGTTTAATGAGTGAAATTTAAGTAAGGCTTATACTTTTAATTAAAAATTAACATCTATATAAAACATAGGAATATGTAATGTAAAAATGAATTACCTCATGTCCATTCAGTCCCCTTTGCCAGCAGCAGGTGGCCCTCTGTCTGGCATGCTTTGTTCATAGGTCTTTGCTGTCATAACCATGTAGGTGTAAGCACGTGCTGATCTGTTGATTCTCGTGGCTTGGTTCTCTGTTCTAACTTCTCATTTTCTCTACTCTGTCTTTTTACGTGCACAGGTTATTCCTTTTATGTAACATCATGTTCCTGTTTTACGACTATAAACATTTTGCCAGTATCTTTAAAAATGATGTGAGGATTGTTTATTTTTGGTACCATCTGTGTTACCATTTTTCTTGTTGTTTTAGTGGATCTTGTGTTAGCTTGATCAAGCTACAGGCGCTTCCTGAATGAGACCAGGGATCTTCCTTCTCCCACGTGTAGGAACGAGGCCACAGGGAGGCTGAGTAGAAATTCTTGGATGCAGCAGCGATGATTGATTGGCACTGTTACTTTGGGTACAATAGGCAGGAATTGAGACATTTTGCTTTGGAACCCCTAACACTATCACGGGGAGTATGTTCCTAAGGGATATTTATATCCACATTCACCCTAGTGCCCTGATTTTCTCCATTTATTCAATTGATTTGTAGAGAGAATCTTCATTGGTATTGTTTCTCCTTATGGCTATTTTTATTGGAGGTAAACACTCACCCTTAGAACGTTCTGAGCACACAGGAAGCGGAACTGATTATTCTGTTTGCAGAACCCGAGTTAACTGGATTTTCTTCTTTCCTCCTTTTACTTACGTGCAGCATGTATGAGGGGCAAGTCTGACAAATTTTATCATTTTAAGGTTGAGCAACACACCTTAAATTTCCCTAGAGAATGATACATGTACTCACAAAGCGCTCCAGTATTTAAGCATGTTCGCTGTAACAAGCAATAAATCCCAGGAACACAGACCTGGCTATTTCAGTAGGAACTAAGACTTGGAATACTTCCGCATTACTCAGATGAATTTTGATTTTGAATCTGGAGGAACTGTGTATGTAAAGAACGGTGTACTTTAATCAAACTGAAACAAACCCAAGTCCTGGGCATCTGATTCCATTCAAACTCATCGATTTGGAATCCATAGAACCAGAGACTACTTAATAACAATCAATCAAACAATCAAACAAACAACAAATACAATTCCTGAACTGGATGAACACGGATGTGACAAGGGAAAAAAGCCAGGTGTAGTTTCTCTTTGATCAATTTAAATCTAGTTACTCTTACACTTGTTGTCAATCTGGATTTTTGAAGCATGGAACACAAATTTCGATGTTTCACAGTTTGGTCACAGAAGCTGTAATAGTCTACAGACACATAAAAACACATTCCTAAATTATACAGATAATGATGCGAAGGAAGGCGGAGCCGAGCTTGAATTCTGCTGCATATGATTCTCATCTGAATGGCCTGGAGGTGACGTCACGGTTTCTGCTTACAGTCTAGTGGTCAAAGCTAATCACCAGACCCCCCTGTAATTGTAGGAGAGCTTGAGAAATAGGGGTGGTGCCTAGAATATTTGGTGAGTATTAGCTCTCTTGGCCAGAATTGTTATCATTATTATCAAATCTAAAGCTTGAGTACTTTTTGTTTGAGTTTCTAGAACTAGTTATTGGTAGAGTGAAGAGTACGGGGAATATAACAAACGTTGAGTGACCACGGTGGTCTCTGTCCACAAAACCCTTTCATTTTACGTGGTGTGAACCTTAGGCTCCCAGAGTTCAAGCAATCTTCTCAAGATATGGGGTGAATTAGAGGCAAAACTAAATGTTGTTTTTTCTCCTTAGCTTTCCTGTCCATCCTCTCCTGGAGACTTCTGTCATGCCATTTCACAACAGTTACTATGATGTTTTGCCTCCAAATGGTGGAATTGTTCATTATCACCAAGAAAGGATAAGTCTTTTAGTGTATGTATCCACTTGTAAATTTTATGATAATGAAATTTCCTTCCAGAACTAGATAGAGCATTGGAGCCTGAAGTACACGTGAAGATGCCCGTGGAGAACATCCCTTATCTGGGTGACTAGTGTTTGGTGTAAAGATTTGTGTTAAGACTCGGAATGGTAAACTCTAGTGACGGGGACAATACAGTCTTCTGACATGTGGACGCTGTTGATGCCTCATTGTGGAAGAACATTCTTCTGGAAATCTGATTCCAGCCCATGAGGTCTTGGTATAATTAAGTGAAGCAGGTAAGCATTGTCCTCATTGTGGGGTGGGCTTTCATTTTAATGGGATAAAAATGGTCACAGATTTTTTTTTTTTTTTTTTTTTGCTAGTTCTGAGGATTAAATCCAGGGCCGTCTCGGTGATTTACATCCCAGGCCCATTTTTATTTTATGTTTCAGTTCTGAGATAGGCTCTTGCTAAGTTTCTCAGACTAGTTTCAAACTTGGGACCCTTCTGTTGCAGGCCCCCAGAATGCTGGGATTACAGGCACATGCCACTAAGCCTGACTTAAGAATGGTCACCATCTTAGTCACTTTTTCATTGCTGAGACATACCTGCAGCTTAAAGGAGGACTCATATTTCAGTCCAGGGTCAGCTGGCTTCAAAGAAGTGGCAGAGCAGAAGGGGATGGGAGGGGACAGCTGCTCGTGGCATGGTGGACCAGTAGCAAAGAGAGGTCAAAGGAGGGGCTGGCATGGGAGACAGGCTCTTCTAGGTCACAGTGACCACCGCCTCTGACCGGACCCCTCCTCATTACAGCAAGTCAGCTCTAAGCTCCCATAATCCAACCACTTTCCCACAGGCCCCCAGTGTGAGCAGATGAGCCTCTTGGGGGACCATGAAATATCTCTCCTGGAGAGCAGCGTCCCCTTGAGGAGATGGATACTATGACTGATTCCAGACCAGGGTAAGGCACCTTCCATTTCCAGACTCATGAAGTCTGCAACCCAGGAGCATTAAGCCTTCACATGGACAGGCTGGGGACACATGTCTGTCCAGCTTTCCAGTCACCCCTGCCAGGGAGGCCCATGGGAATGAAGGAGTCTCTCAGCCCAGTTATCCCACCTACGGCCACATGCATCAGAGACAAACTGCTTGGTCGAGCCTTTTCTCGTTCCTAGTCCAAGGAAATTGTGAGCAAAAATAAAATGTTTGTTTTAAGCTATGAACTGTTGGGACACTTGTTACACAGCAGTTGATAACTGGTGTGTCTGTTTCCCTTGGCTCCTGTCTGGGTGCAAGTGTCAGCTCTAAAACCAGATCCTTGGGTCTGCCTCTGTGCCTTAGAAGCTGTGCGACCTCAGGCAGATTACAGAAATACCCTCAGCCTCAGTTTCATCTATAAAAACAGGGTGCTGGACTTACTTCATGGGCACTAAATTCATTATGTTAGGCAAATCTTTAAAGCAGTGCTCAAGTATTTCTTCTGGTTCTTTTTTTTTGAAGACCTACTCTGTGCCAACTACTGTTCTAAGCTTTACAGGCTTTTCTGAAATTATTGCCCAGCAGCAGCCTACCACTCATGCTATTTACCTTCCAGACAAAGCAAATATCATTAGTACCTCCTTCCCCTCATGTACATGTGTACACACACACACACACACACACACACACACACACATTGAACAGACAAGCAAAATCCAGTGCTCATGGAATCGAGAACCTTCCTAGACTCTGTAAGACTCAATATGCACCAGTCAGGGTGTTTCCTTGCCACAGTTCAGCACAGTTCAGCTTTTTATATGAGTAATATTTGAATTCAGATCACTACTGATTTATGGTGGCAATCACGACACCCTGAGAGAGGAAAGCACCTGTACAACTGTGGTCATTTGGGATTTCCTGAGTCAGTGTGCTTACTTGTAAGATGGACTCATCATAGGGAAGAAAATCTAATCTATCAGGACCCACCCCTGATAACGTGTGTCCATCAAAGGAAGGGACAGGAGGTCATCAAAAAGGCCCTGTGGACAGTGGAGTAGCGCATTTTCCACTCATGAAGGTGGGAAGTGAGGGCACAGGGATGATATTTTCTGAGCCTTAAATTCACATGCCACCTGTGCTGTCACCTCCGTAGTTCAACCATCCCCATCCTCTTTCCGTCTCTGTCAGACTCACGTTCCTTTCAGAGCAGGGCAATCGCACCAATGTCTTTGGTTTAGACTTCTTGCTTAGAAAAACTCTGTTGCCAAGGGGGCCAAATTAATTTGTAAATAATTCCCACCAGACTGTGGCCTTCTGCATCAACCCACAGAGCACTAATGAACTGGGGAAATGCTAGTTCACAGGCTCCCTTAGCATCCTTCCGGGATGAAGTAACTCTGCAAGACAGGGGAAGCCACAGAGATAACAGCCTTAATAAGGTTTAGATTTAATCCATTAAGACACTGTCTTAGTCACTTCCCTTGTCACTGGGACACTCACAACTTAAGGGAGGAGAGATTTATTTGGGCTTGTGGTTCCAGAAGTTTCAGTCCAGGAGTCTCAGGCTCCAAGCGAAAAGCATCATGGGGGAAGGGCAGCTATCATCATGGTGGCCAAGAGGCAGAGAGAGGAAAGGGAGGACCCCAGAAGGGAGCCAGATCCTTCCAGGTTATACCCCCATGGACCGGCCTCTTCACACTTAGCTCTGCATCAGTGATTTAATTACCTTCCAAATGCCCATCCTCAGTACATGAGCATTTTTCAGGAACATTCTGGTTTTAAACCACAACAGACACATTCACAGAAGTTAGGAAAAGTTAGCCACAATTACTGTGTCCTTTAACTTATTTAGGAAGACTGAGAAAACAAACATGCTTCTGTCTAATTCTATATGAATATGGAACTGTTTTCAATTAAGCTTCTGCTATTTGAAAATATGTAAAAAATAGTATCCTTGATAAAATGATTTGCAACGTGGCCTGATCAGCAGTGACCAAGCCACAAGCAACTTGAGTACATCATTCTCATTGCTTTAAATGATTCTTTTCTCCTCTCTTCCCCTCCTGTCTCCATTTAATCCTCTACCCCTTTAAATAAGCTGCTTCTGCAGACCACATCTGACCTGACATCCATGATGTGTTTTCTTTTGAGTCCTAAGTTTACCACATGGCTTAGGTTCTATCATCTCTCTATGAAATCAACCTGAATTACAAATTTACCTGGGTTAGAGGCCAACCGGGAGGTGTGTCTGTGGCGAGGTGTTTTAATCTTGATTTCTGCTCTTTTGATTGCAGAGCAGACCCTGGGTAGGACTCCCTAGGATCCCACCAGTGCTCCTGTGCCTTTATAAAATGTGTCTCCATGCATTGCATTTTATGCAGTGCTGAAGTCTGGAGTGCAAAACAGACTCTGTGGTGTAAGACAAATACATTTTGGGGGAAATTCAAAACTGAAGAGGTCTTTAGAGTGCAGGATGTATCAGAGCCTTTAATAGATTTCTGTGACTTTCCAGAAGGAGGGAGGAGTATAAACCATCTTGTATATTCTCTTGACACGATCTCTGTGGGTTTACTTAGGTATACTGGTCTCCTTCGTTCTCTAGAAACAATTGTGTTACTCTTTTGTGGATGCTCAATGAGTGATTTCTAGAAACACCTTGCTTCTCAGGTCTTGTTTTTCCGGAGGGCAGAATAGCTAAGGAGTCTCATTCTGCGATAAGGAGTGATTTTGACCCAAGACACCGTGCAGAGTGTGCTGTGGTCTTCCAATCCTTTTCTTTCCTTTGGAATAAGTCATTCATTAACAATGAAATTAATTTTACTAAATGCTTTGTGTGACAGCTTCTGTCGTCTACCAGAAACCACGCCCCACCGTCAAATCCCAGTCCTAAAGGAGGACAGCAGTGTCTCCTGCTGACCACCTCCCCATATGTAAAGGTGAGTAGTTTTAACTATGGCGATTCCTCACAACTAGCCCTGCTTCTGCTTGCAATGCAGCAAGAGTTGTGTGATCAGTCCCTGTATTTGGAAAGGCTCAGAAAGCCATCTGTTCACCCTTAGGATCAGCAGCTCGGAGAAGCACGATGGTGGAGGTGAGTGTTGGAGCGAACCCAACTTGACGTCGAATGGCTGCCCTAATGCTTATCAGCTTCACAGGTCTGGGGAAGGAACCTCAGTTTCTTCATCTACAGAAGTAGAACATTAGTGCACCTGCCCCTCACGGGAAAGCTGCAACCCTCTTATTGTCTTTGTAAATGGAAAGCCAGGAGACGATCCAGTGCCAAGGTACCCCTGTACCCCTCTATTGCTCATGTGGTTTGAGACTGCTCGTCCTGGAGGTGAGACCTTTTGTGCACCACTTTGGCTCCTCCGTTCACTTTGCTTTGGCACACAGAACTTTCTTGGCTATCTCTCTGCCAGCTTTTCTGTACATGGGACCCCCAAAAGCACAAGAGATTGTGTTGGGATTATTTCAGAACCTCTCTGCTCACTCAGGACCTGAAATAAAATCTTAAACATTTCCCAAAGTTGGGCCATGTACACCTAATTCTACTTCCTTAGAGACACTTTGGAACAGCTGTAACTGCAAACATGATCATCCTAAATCTACTATTTCCTTCCTCTGTATCCAAAGGATCACAAACCATTTTCTAAGCTGATCCTTTAAAAAAGATGTTCAGTAATTTAAGATTTTTATTATGGAAAAAATAAAATATATAAAATAGAGACAATACATAAAAGACCTATATACCCAGGAGGCAGCTTCCACAATTAACAATTTATGGGCAGTGTTGCTTTATATATATATCTTTCTTTTCTTCTTTACTAGATCATTTTGGGACAAATTCAAGACATTTCATTTTTCCACCTATGACTATTTTAATATGTATATTTTAAAATGATAAAACATCTTAAAAACATAAAAAAACTATAATTCAATGGTCATTCCTAAATACAATAAGAAAAATATTTCAAAATATTGTGTCAATCGTTCTGAATGGGGAGAGAAAGATAAAAATGTATAGCAGTTGTGGTTCATTAGAAGCCCCTGTGGATTAATAAAATAGCGACATATAATCCTGAGCACTTTGTGATCTTGAACTTCACCCTGTTAGTAGAGTCTGTAAAAATTCTAAAATCATAAAAGAAGTGAAATCTATGGGGTGGCCATTTAGTTAGTGTTCCTGAGCCTCTGGTTGGGGTCCTGGTTCACCCCAACCAGCAAAGATCACAAGAATCTGATATTAAATAGTTTCTGGGCTTCCTGAGCTGAAGTTTTTGATCTTTTCACCGATGTTAGTAATAATAATATTCATTATTAATTTCTTTTAGGATCAATAGAGTTTGCTACAATATGGATTTTGGACCCAACCGGGAAGATCAGTATATTTACGATATTATAATTCCTCCCAGGAAGTATCAACAAGGACAGAAGAAAAATCTTTCGAACATGTCCTAAGTATGCTACTGGAGGACCAATAAGTATTCCCAAGTGGCAGCATTTCCTATTGAACTGTGCCGAAATGTCTGTTTTTAGAAAAGTGCCAAGTTAATTAGCACCCTATAGGACCTTGTTACAGCTCAGAACGACTACATCTGCTGATAATTTAATCATTATAAATGTGACACAAGGAAATCAAGCTTCACACGCTGTTACATAATGCAAATTGACAGTGAAGACGGCTCAATAGTGTGATGTCATTAATAAGGTTGTTTCTTAAACTCATAACAAATATCAAGTAATTTTTGCAGTAGGCTAAGAAAATAGACACAACCCGTGTGATGGTTTTGAGATGCAGAACACGCTGGGCACATCTGCCCTTCTTTCAGAAGTTGTGGGCTGCTGGCGGAGAATGTCGTACCGGCATGGATGGTTGTTAGAGGTCAAGAAGGTTCTAGAAGGACATGCTGCCTGGTAGGTTGAAGGGCTTTATGGTCACTGCTCCCCATGTTGTCTTTAGTTGTTGACAAAGGGCAAGGTAGGAGCCGTGTTGGTCTTGGGCAGTTAGCCTGGGCAGTGTGCACAGATACCTGAGATATGCCATGCTGGCATGAGGGAAGGTGGGTGTGGGAACAGAAACTGGCAGACTGAGCCTCCATGGGCTTTCATGGTTGTGTCCCGGGGTCCTTTCCAATCGGAGCATTCTGAGAGACTCCTGGGTCCAGTGTTTCCCTCCCCAGTAGTGGAGACAGCAACCATGCAATGCTGGACTGCATGGACTCCACTGTGGTCATGAGCCCAGGCACCTGGTGTGGCTCTGGCAGTCAGTCTGCATGTCACACATGTCCTGCCACCTGTGAGGAGCTTTCTCTCCTGTCCTACTCCGCAGGGTTGCTGGGAGATATTGGCCTCTGGCCACCAATATGACTAGTTGTATATTTCCTTCCAAACATCCCACCGGAGGTAAATGAGAGAGACCTTCCCGCCTCCTTCATGTACAGTGGAACTATGCTCACAGTTAAAACTCAGCCCAAGTCAACAAACAAAAACAACCAACAACAAAAGCAAAAGGCATAAACTTTTGGCTTCTAGCAAGGATCACAGCTGCAAAAGTTTTGGACTGGATGGAAGAGAAAGACTGTAGTTTTTTGGGGGACTCAGTCTTGACAACTGCAGGGTTTTTGAGACTTGACAAAAATAATCAGAAATAGGGAAGGTTGGGCTTGGTGAGTGGGGTCTGAACCTACCGTGTTGGCTCTGTAGACTGGAGCACCCACCTGGGTGGACGGGAGCTCCTAGTGGGGGCTCCAGACAAAAAGTCTTGGAGGAATGCATGCCCATCTGGTAGTGGCCTCGAGGAGACAACAGGTGAACCATTCCATGGTCGTGTGGGGCTGGCTTCATATGATAGCAAGGAATAGAAGCAAGAACAAGCCTTAGGTCAGCAGCTGGAGAAGGTCCCGGGCACTGTGCCCTGGGTACGAGGGGGAGCAGATGTGTCTAACCTGGCTGGCAAGGTGTGAGGAGTAAGCTATTTTGGAAGTCCCACAAGGTGTGGAGGCAGGGTCATCAAACTATAGGAAAATGGGCTTCAAATCTAGCCCGTTTTGTGTTCCAGGATAAGAAATTACCTGGTTTGAAATCTGCATTTTTTTTCCTTCTTGGTAAATCAATACATGGTGATTATAGAATACTGTATACTTTAGACAATAAAAATAAATAAAATGTAAATAAACCTTCCCTAAATATTCAATTATATTTAGGATATATAGATAAATAACATTAAGAACTTGATAAAAATTCTTCTTTTTCATCTCCTCTGATATGTGTGAAAAAATATATATATTACCAATGCATATTGCATTCTATTTTGTGTTGTAATTTTTCCTCCTTAGTACTGAAGATGCCCTTTCATGCATCTGTGATGTTATTTTTGGTGGCTGAGTAGTAGTGCCATGTATGAATTACTGAATCGCATTGCCTAACTATTGACTTAGGGCCCTTTATGCTTCCTGAGTCTAGACTCTTGGAGAACAAACCAAACTTGGTGGTGGCTTTGGAAAGTTTGATCCAGTTGGCTAAGGTATCATTTATAACCATCTTACACCTTGAGTAGTACAGAACTTACGACTGTCAGAAACTCACCAGTGAGCTGATTCATTATCTTGGCAGGATGTTTTTCCATGCAGTGACCCAGAATCAGCTTTAGGACAAGAACCTACTGGCCTGACTCTACCATCACCTACCTGGTGACATAGGCCAGCGGGCTTGTATCAGTCAGCTTTTCATCGCTGGACCAAAATACCTGACACTTGCAATTGAAAGGAGGAGAGATTTATTTTGGCTCACGGTTTCAGAGGCTTCAGTCCCTGGATGGTGGCTCTGATGCAGAAACCTGGCTGAAGGGCTGTGTGGAGGAAATCTGCTCAACTCATGACATTCAAGAAATGGAGATCTTGGAAATGCCCAAGAGGATGGGGTCAGGGACCAGATGTAGTCCTCAAGGTCACACCCCGTGATCCCTCCAGAAGTGTGCATTACCAACTCCCAGGCATCTCTCAAGTCAATCAGATTGACAATCAAGGTTAACAGTTATGAGGCTTAACCTTGATGGCCCTCAGTTTCCTCATCTGTGAAACAGGTACCATAAAAGAATTCCTAGCATATATGACATGCTAGGAATATTGAATAGATAAAGTGCTCAGTATCTGCTGTGACCACAATGCCACCTAGACAGTACCATAGCACAGGGTACGTTTGGTATCAGCACCCGACAGTTGTGTGGCAGTTTAAAGACCTACTTGTATCATTCCACACTTGGTGACCCTAATGAGCTTGCTCCATGCCGGAGAGTAGTTCAAATTCTCTCACATGGTGCTCAGCTCTTCCTCCCAAACACACTCTCTTCTGACATACTGTGTGGCTTATCCCATCTCTGCAAACTCTCCAGCTCTCTGCATCTCCCCAGATGAACTCTGCTTTTGTGATCGGCTACTCAAAGAGTCCCGGCCAGGTATATAAAATAGTTCCTCGCCCTAAAACATCCATCCTAATCCAGCCTCAGGGTACATAGGTGAGGGACATCTTTGTGCAGCTGACTTCTGTTTAAGGGGAACGGAGGTGAAGCCAGAGCTCTTTCAGGGTTTGGTATCACTTGCCTGCTTCGGTCTGAATAAAAACACTCTGAATGTGGAAAGGACATAGTGTGACCTCCTGCATGGCAGAGAGCTTGTTTTTCTTGTTTTCCTTATTCATAGACTGTGCACCCAGCTCTCAGCAGGTGCTGGCTGCCCTACCAAGTCCCCTGACTCCACTGGGATTGTTCCAGCAGCCCCTGGAGCATGGTTACTCTACTCCCCCCACTGTCACAATCGGGAGTCCTGAAATTCAGATTACCAAAATATCCAGCTGTATCAATTCAAAACTAATTGATAGGTGGACACAGGAGCCAAACAAACAAAGATTGAAATATTGTGTTTAGTGGTCAAGTGGATGGGGAATGTGGTTATAGATTTATAGAGAGTGGGACTGTTGGCATCTTGCCCTGTCCTCCTGGCTCCTAAGGTAAGATTCCAGGACAGGGCGACTGAGGGAAAGCAAGGATGAAGAGCAGTTTCTCCTCATTGATCTGGAGGACAGAGGGTGCTGGCAGCTCAGTGGGGAGGGTCCCTAGAGCTTGCTTCCTGTAGTTAGATTAGCTTTACTCAATCACCACTGATGCCTCATAACCCAAGCTCACTCCTGCGTTTGCAAGAGAAAATGCTGGGGGAGGCGCCTGCCCTTGAAGACCCTCATCACAAAGCCACGATTCCAGGCCCGGAAGGTCCTCGGCCAGTCTTGCCCCCACACTGAAATCCAGGCTGTCCTGACTTTAGGGCGGTGCTGTCATGTCTTTTAGCTGGCACCCCCACATCTCAGTGGTTCATCTATTGAATGTCTTTGATTTACCATTCAGAATAGCACAAGAATGATGTTAGGGAAACAAAAATTAATCCTAAGTCTTTTCAATGTATCAATCTTTTTAAGAAGGTTAAACACGCAGTATATTTTGCTTGGCAGAATCCCTGATCTTGACATCATGGTGACTCTGCTGGTGCCAGCAAACCAAGCCATTTTGACAACACACAGCACTGGAGCTGTTTGCTCAGGACCATTAAGCGCCAGGGAAGGTTAACAGATTTCCCAGGTCCCCGCTCTGATCAACCATCTTGTCCAGACTGATGTCTTTTTCTCATTAGAATAGATCAGAGAGAATGGTGTCTCGCCTCTAATTAAATTCTCATCTCTGCCCAACTGTTTGAAAGGGCAACTGTCTTAAACCTTTGAACTTTATTTGTAATACAAAACTTCAATTAGATAAAGGACAATAATTAGCAGATCTTTTATCTTTGGGTATAATTAAATCTTTAAGAAGGGACATTTTAATCAATGAATTGTAATGACAAGTTCATAAATTAATTAATCCCACCAATGGAGGCTTGGCAGTAATCAATGGATCTTTAAAGCCATCCAGGGTGAGGGGACTTAGCTGTGGGAATACAGTTGCTCGGTTCGGTTTGGTGTAAAGATTCTCATTTATTAGGGATTAGCTGGTTCAAAAGATGATCTATTTATCTAGGAGAAAGTCATTAAAAATATTAACTTTTAATGGGAGAAAAAGCCTTCTTGCAAATTTTTGCTCTCAAAACTTTCTTCTCAGAGCTTTCAAGCCAGATCCCCAGGGCCCACAGTGCTTTTGTATTCTTATCTTAGAGCTCTTGGCCAATTTGCTGATTTGCTAGCTAGACTGAATTAGAGAGAAACCAAAATTAAGGTTGACTATCATTAGATATTTCAAGATTTTTCTTTTGATATAGATGTGTGTAGTCTCTGGCCCACTGGCTGTTATTGTAAATAACGTTTTATAGAAACTCAGATGAGTGCATTTGTTTCTATGGTCTCTATGTCACACTGCAAGGTACAACTGAATAGTTACCACAGACACTATGGGACCTCTGAAGTCATAAGCATGTATTACTTGACCGTGTTTTTATAGTAAAAATTTGCCAGAGTCTATGCTAAAGCATTGCATTCTCTTCCCAAACCTTGAGGGATTTGGTAAAGTTTAAACTCAGTGCAGAACTACACAGGCAGTGTTTATTGTAGAGTTGAAGTTAAGTATTTCAAATATTAAGTTGTGTCTCTAACAGCCTAATAATCAGGTTGTTGGATGTCACTTTTGTCCTAAAGATTGGGAAAAAAAGCAAGGGAAAGGTGATTTAAATGGGGTGTATGGGGAGGAGCTATACATGCAAAAGTCCTGTGGCAGGAAGGCATATGGCTCCTTCCTGGGTAGAGGACAGTGCCTGGAGGCTTAGGGGCAGGGGCAGGGGAGATAGGCTAAGTGTATAAGTCAAAGATGAAGCAGATCATCAAGAGCCCTGCACATCACTGTTATGGATTAGTCTGCGTGAGTGCAATCAGGACCCTTCCCTGCATCTCAAACCCTGGAGGACTTCACATTTCTCCAGGCTAACATCTCAAAATCAAAGCCTTGCCTACGAGCCAGTGTGGGATTGTTTGGGATGATTGGGGAGGGTCGTGGAGGTTGGAGGAGGACGGGAAGGAGGAGGCTGGAGATGGAGAGTACTGGTAGAAGTTGCAGGGTCCCTACGTTTGTTACCTCCCCCTTTGCATGGCTTTACAGTCTCTGTGTCTTCCCTCCCTCTGTGTTCTCTTGTAGGGAGGGCAGCCACTGGACTGCGGACCCACCTTCAATCCAGAATGGTTTCATCTGAAGCCTTTGACTGTATCTGCAAAGAACCTTTTTGTAAATAAGATTCCATTCCTAAGTGCTGGGGGTTAGGAATGGCTATGTCTTTTGGGAGACACAAATCATTTGCCATTCAGTGGATAATGTGATCTGCTTTTACTGTTGAAACCACTGCTTGCTTTCTTGGTGCAAAAGGCTGGACAGAGCAGGTGTAAGCATGGAAGCAAGAGGGCTGGCTAAGAGCTTGCTGCAAGCTTTCGGATGTGTATGACAGAGTGCCTCAGTGTGGTAGCCTTACAGCAGGTGAGGGCTGCGGGAGGCGGACGTTGCTGCATACTTGGGATCTGTTTGTGGGCTGGAAGGAAGGAATCAAGGTCAGTCTTCTGTAAAGTTGGGTGGTTTTTCTACCCACCTCTGAGAACGGGAGCAGAGAAGGGCTCAGAAGACCACGGAGATGAGAGTCTAGTGAAGAGTCTGGCCCCCACCATGGAAGATACTCCATAGCCTCTGGACATATTTGGGGAGAGTAGATGCAAACGAAGATAAGTCCCCCAAAGTTCTTTTGTGAGTGTGTGTTTGCTCTGGGCAAGGGTACAGGTCTCTCTTTTTCAAGACTTTTTTTTTAAACAATACTCATTTGAATAGGGCTTAGAGTTCCTTGGCAGGGAAACATTGGGCTCTTGGAAATATTACTATTATTTCTGGAGCCAAATTTAGCAAAGACGGCTCTGCCTTTAATTACTGGTTGATGCTGAGTTGTACAGGCAAATGATTACATGCACAATTAGTTGTTCCCACAAGTAGCCAATTATGGGAACGATTATTTAAGAAAATTGTGGCTCCTGCTAAAGGGACTTTGCATTGCTGCCTCAAAATACATTTCTGTATAAAAAGTCCTTTTATTGCATGTGTTATTATTTTTTCCTATCTCCTGGGCTGCTGCAGAAATGGCCCTTGTGGTCTCATTTGTGGAGAGAGAGGACTGTTTTGTGTGGAAGCCCAGGTCTTTGGGGTACTGTGAGACTCAGCAAAGGGGGCTTGGAGCCGGGAGCCCTCCCAGGCCTAGTCTTGCTCCAAAGACCATGACTACCCCACGCATGGATGTTAGAGAGAAGTCAGGAGTCATAATGGTGGATCAGGGAAGTGCTGCAGGCACGGTGAGCCCTAGAGCAAATCGATGAGTCCCTGTTGGCTAACCCTTGCGTGTGTCCGTAAACATGGCTTTCATGGACTTTCTGCAGCGACCTGTCCTTCTTGGGCCACTTCTCCCCTGACCCTTTTTCCCCTAGGCAGTCAAGTTGTCTTAAAAGCATAAGCTCCCTTACCCCATAAGTGTCATTAACTTTGGGAAACTGAGGCCCAGCGAGGTGAAGGACTTATCCAGTGGTCCCAAGTCCAGCTGACATGTGACCCCAGGTTGCCAAACTCTAAAGATCCAGGTTTCCCCACAAGGCCATGCTGCTTACTGAGAGCCCCGGCCGCGATCATGACAACCATCAAACACTGTGACCCTTACAATGGAGGGGCAGCCTGGTGGCTTCTTTTGTTTTTGGTCCGGACGAGGAATCAAGACTAGGTGGACCTGGAAGGGACTGCAGTGGATCTCGTTTAGACCATTTATTTATTTACTTATTTACTTACTTATTGCTATCTGAATAGAATTTGGAGAATGTATCTAGCTAAGGTCACTCTCTCCCTTTAAATGTTTCTCATGACCTGCTGATCCATCCATGACCAATCCTGACCTCACTTGTGCAGAGAAACTACACACTCAAGTGCCAGTGTTGGGCTGGTCCATAGAAATTCTGTTTCTGCCCCATAAGTGGAGTGTGTTTGCTGTGCTGCCATTTATCAGTGGTCAGTTGTATCATCTTCACAGGGGTGGCTACGTTCTACCTTAATGTGGTTTGACCTTAAACAACTGGACCTATGCTTCAGCACCCTGTAAGGGTGATGTATTTTTTTTATCTAAAAGAGAGATGTATTTTTTTGATCCTTGATTTTGGATTAGTTCATGGGATTTGCTTTGGCTAAAATGTTGCTAATATTTGTGACATAAACATAAATATGAAACAAATGATTAGACATTTGGGCAAGCCCTTGTGGTCCAGCGATCCATCAGGAAAGGAACATACCAGGGGTAGTTGTCGGACACTCAGCTTCAGCATGAGAATGAAACCGTACAGTCGACTCATCTCCTAAAAATATATAGGTCCAACTCAGACCAACACTATGGTGTGAAGCCTAGAGCCTGAACGTTAGCTTAATCCAAATAAATTGCAGTTAACTTCCATATCCATGAATACAAAAAAATTTGCTGTCTTAAGCTACTGACCAGCATTGGGCTGGTTTGTTACACAGCATTATTTGGCTGACTTATACATTCCATACTGCATTTTTATGGATATTGAAGCAGATGGAAATAAAAGAGATAGGAAAATGAGGATTAACAGCAGAGATGGGGTAGGTGGTGTTTAAAATTATATCAACATATTTGCAACTTAGTGTTCAAATGGCTGTGGAGCTATAATTTACTTATGCCAAGGCATTCTATAGATTTTTCTCCCTAAATGAATCTAAGCCAATATTTTTGAAAAATGTAAGCAAGCAAGCAAACAAAAAAAAGTAGACAAGCAAACTTGGTACATCATGGAATAACCAGCGAGTGGATTGGACCCAAATACGCCAGGCTGTGTGAGGTTGTGGATAGGCTGGGTTCCCCATAGTCACCCCATTCCTTGACCACATTCTGAACATCAAGAAATCAGGAATAGATGGGTAACCAGAACTTGGAAATGCATTTCCTCTTAGTCTGATTTTCATAGTCTGGTTGCAAATATCTCCTTGTACAAGAGAAGATTTATATTGCTTGGAGAGAGTAAAAAAAAAAACCCACAAGTTACTTATAAAAGTCTTACCTTTTTTTTGGCCCTTCCACATGATGGAAATATGCTAGCAACATTTTACGTTTCGCAAGTGGTCTTTTTATAAGCTCATATCTGCCAAGATCTAGCAGAGGTTCCATGTGGCTTTTGAAGACATGCCTGGAGCCCTTTGCTGTGGAACCTGGAAGTGACGCGCGTGCCTGGTAACCACAGGCTGCCCTTGCGGGCTGCTGAGGTCCTGTGGCTCATCACGGAATGATGCAGATCATTCCAGAACGATGTAAACTTGTGAGGATGCAAATCCAGTTTGTTCTCCTGGAGACTGTGGCCCAGGTCCTCTCCAACACCACCAAACCCTTCTGCTTTGGAGGTATTGGAATTAAGAGGTGTGGTTTCTCTCTTGCTTATGGTTGTTACTTCTCGGGGCCTTGTGTTGAGCAGTGCTGTGAGTAATAGAAGTGTATTTCTGTAAAGTTCTGGGGTTTTAGCATGAATTAAGTTCCAGAGAATGTTAGGACAAAGCACAGCAAATGATCAACTTTTTTTTTCTGTTTTCAGGAAACAAAATACTCAGATTTTGAATACGAATGCATTTTATGTTAGCCACAAACCCTTGGCCTCAGAGATCAGATCCTCACTTTGTCATTTGCTACCTGAATAGCCTGGGCTAACCCACTCAACTCCCACAGAATTGTGTGTACCAATCTGTGTACTAATGGGGATGATAATATCAACTTCAAAAGTAGATTAGATGTAGGGTAAGGAGAATACTTTTTAATGTTTTCTTTCTTTATATCTACTTGTATTACACCTAAAATAAGAAAAGAAGGAGAAACAATGTGTGGAAAGTCTCTGTAAACAAGAAAATTTTTAAATTAATTGGGAAGAATCCTAAGACATTTTTAAGCCTAATTTCCTCATCTGAACATGGATTGGTCATATTTCTTTTCTTTTTTAAAAAAATTTTATTTAAAAGGAAAAAGAAAAAACAAAACAAAACAAAGCAGTGTAAGGGTACAAGTAATACAGAACGATTGGTCGTATTTCTAGCTCATAAAAAGGAGATAAGATTGAGATAGTTCATGATACCCAGTATGGTAAACAGAATAGTGGTCACCTAGAATGTCTCTAACCTCAGTCCTCAGAAGTCGTGAATAACTGGTCTTATAACAAAGGGGAATGAAGGTTTCAGATGAAATTAAGGTTGCTAATCAGCTGACCCAGAGACGGGGAGTTTATCCTGGTTATCCAAGTGGGTCTACTGTGATAACAAGAGTATGTAAGAGTGCATGAAAGAATGGGAATACAGAACCAGATACTGTAGATTTCAACACGAGAGGTCTCGGGTCACTGTTGGCTTTAAAGATGGTGGAAGGGACCATGAGCCACAGAACAGGGAACATCTAGACACTTGGAAAGGCAAGGCCACAACTCTCAGAGCATCTCTGCCAGTATTTGTTTCTAAGCCAGTGAGACCCCTTTTGGGTTTCTAACCTGCAGAACTTTAATATCGTGTATAGTATTGTTTTACACTCCCAAATGTTTAGTAATTGTTAAAATGACCATGAGAAACTAATAGATCTTGTCAGGACCCAAGGAGAATTTCTTTATTCAAAGTAGGTCTTTTCATATTAAAAGAGTCTAATCTCACCTAATATCACACAACATTTCTGTTAGCTGGAATGCATTCCTATGCAGTTGATACCATTTCTGAGAACTTCATCTTGTTTACTCAATAAAAATAATTGAGTACAATCATTTTTTCCTCCAAGCTCTAGATATTTCTTGTTTCCTGGTACTTCATACCGTAAAGGCAAAGGCTGATGCCAACCTTAATTTCCATTCCTTCCTAAATATCCTCTCCCTCCCTGCTGGGAATTTTATAGGACTGTTTCATAACGTTTGTTGTTGAAACGTTTGCCAAAATCAGTCTGGCTGAAGGCTTCATGGATATTACCTGGAGCGGAGAGAGGATTTTTTGAGAAGCAGTCCATCGTCCTGTGCCACCAGCTGGGTAAACTCTAATTATGACTGAGACCACACAATTTGTAATCATTGATCTTGCTTCTTTCGTAGGAAACCATTATTTTGGGATAGATTGTTGTGTGTTTTCCTGGGCATTGTCCCCCAGCTCTAGTTTAGATTTCCTGGTTGGAAACGGGGGGACAGACATGAAAATCTGTGCTTTCAGGGAGACCATTGCTGTCTGTGTGGTAGAGATCACACACCTAGGAGGTGGGGTCACCCAGGTTTCCCTGCACCGATGTCCTGATGTGTTGGTTTCTGCACACCGTGGCCTCTGCATGGCTGTAAAACAGAAGTAGTAGAATTTATTTTTGTTTTCTTTCTGGTATAGATTTTGCTTTTTTGAACCATAGGAGTCCATAGTGAGGGAAGAGTTTTCTACCCACATCCAAAAGAGAAACTTTGGACAATCCCCAAAAGCATGGAATATCTATTAGCTATATATTTTTATTCTTTTGGCCTTGGGGAGAGTAGAACTTTATCAGAGATGCTAGTGCTTGGTTAACTTTCTTTTGCAGGATTTACATTTTTCCTCTTTTCTGCATAAGTACTTTGGTGGGGATTTAGGAAAAGCTAGATCAAAATTTTTGCATCAGGATGTTTTTCTTAGGAACATTTATTACATTTCTCCCCCAAGTCAGGTATTACGCCAAATGCATGATTACATTTGGAACTGGAGATATTATTTACATTTTAAAACTGAAGACAAAAATTAAGTGAATTGAGAGGGGTTGCCCAGGGTCACAGAATAAAACATGGCACCATTAGAGGTTCCAGAGATTTTTGGCTCTGAGATTTTTCCCTTGCTCCAGGAGGTGATTTTTTTTTTTCATGAAATGAATTCATTTAGTCTTTTCTTAGGGACATCAATAAACATGAGCTTTGGGGGTAGAGTACAAAATGACATTTGCAGTTGCTTTGTGGAGACGTGAACCTGATCCGTACATGCTGACACCTCCCACTAATGCATCTGCGAGCTCACAGCAACAGCTATTTCCTGTGCCATCCACAGAGCAAAACCCAACTGAAATTCCACTTCTAGACAGACACCTAGCAGCTGAACACCCCTATGCATGCTAAAAGACATACCCAGGAGCATTCAAAGAAGCACTGTTTTTAATAACCAAACCCATGGCAATAGCAACCGAAATGTCACCAACGATGAAATGGATGAGTACTATGCACGATAATAATTAAAATTCTTATATGCTTTTCAGAAGTATCAACCTTTATCAAATATCCAGTTTTTCTTGGCGTGACTCCTGGCTTGCCTGGTCCAGCACTCTCCCGTCTTTCTCTCGGGCCACTGTTCCATTCTTTGGCTGCCTTCTTCCCTTCCACCTACATTTTTTTTAATGTTAAAACCTTTCATCTCAATTGCCTAAAAATGTTGCAAAGGTATTACAAAGAATTCCCACACACCTTCATCCATCTCCAAGACTGTTCCCCCCCTACATCACCTTACTGTAATTTTTTGAAATCTGGAAACCAACATGGATACTATGCTTGCAACTTCTGGGTAGACCTTCAGATTTCTCTAATTGCTTGGCTCATCCTTTCTTGGGTCCAGTGTCCAGTACGAGGTCCCAATCCAACATTGTAGTCAGTCATCATGTGTCCTCAGTCTCCTCCAGTTGGGACAATTCCTGTCTTCTGTAGTCTTTTATGACTGACAGATTTGAAGATATCAGACTGGATAGTTGGGGTCCTCTGGTTTGGATTTCTCTGACATTTACTAACAATCACGTTGAGGTGCTGTACTTTTGGCAAGACAGTCACAGAAGCATCCTGTTGTACCAGGAGACACATGACGTGGATGTAGGTTAATTCTGATTATTTGATAAAGGTGGCAGAGGTCAGGTTCCTCCTTTAAACTTAACGGTTTCTACTTTTTAATTAATAGTTGTCTCAAGGGAGAGACTCTGTGAGGCCATGCAGATATCCAGTCGGCATCACACTTTCCCTTACTAATTTCCACATGTTGTGGACCCACCTGGCCATTCATCCTGAGCTCCTTAGGGCTTGGTCCCAGCACTTCCTGCCACTCTCCAGCCCTCCCCAGGGAGGCTGCGGTACCTCACAGCTCCAAGCACCATCTGAGGACCTGACTTCCGCAATGGCCTCTCCATCCCCTTTCCTCTTTTAAGGACTCTGAGTGGCGCCACCCCAGGCCCCTCACCTGGCCACTGCACCCTCATGGTGATCCCTGCCCCCAAGTTCCTCTCAATTTGCTCCGATTTGTCATGACCTGCACCCAGCTGCACGTGTTAGAAATCTGAGATCTACTACTGATAACTCTTATCCCTTATATTGGTTGAATCACCAATATCTGTTGATTTTCTGTTTTTTATTAGTACCTCCCACCAATCCAGAACTGGTTGACTGAATCTGTCACTTTAATCTTCCTAATTCTTTTCATGTCTACAGCTGATTGCCCAGTGCAAACCACAGTCATTTCTTCTCTGGACAACTGCCCTGCCCTTAAAATGGTCCCTTAACATAATCCCTCTCCTGTGCTTTTCTACATAGTGGTCAGTACAGCACCACTCTTGACTTTGCTATTAGAAGGGAAAGTCCAGAAGTCATGGTGATTGTACTGGGAATTACCCATGGTGATTGTACATGGGCAAGGTAAGTCATGGTGATTGTACATGGGCAAGGTAAGACTCCAGGGGACTGAGTAGGGGAGGAATGAATGAATGAATGAATGAATCAATGAATGAATGGCAGAGGAAGGAAGAGAACAATTTCTCCTTCCTGGTGTTAATGAACCCAGTGGCACCTGGCCAGGGCTCGACTCTGGGATGCAAGTGAGGTACTTGCTTTAGGTGTGGCATTAAGCAGACACCAAACCACTGAAGATAGTATTTTAATGAAATAAATTTTAAAAAACAAAGTTAATGCAAAAAAAAAATCCACGATGAACAAAACATAACAATTTAAACAAAGGCAGACCATCTAAAACATCACTGTCTTCCTCTAATCTAGCTGTCCCATTGTGAATGAAGAATCTAGCTCCTTAATTTGCAATAGCTTAGAACAGGATTCTCTAGGGGAGGAGGATTGACCTCCCCTCTCCCAAATGTTAGTAAAGTCTGAAGGCATTTTGGGGTGTTGCAACTGAGGGGGGCAGGGATGAGCTACGATATCTAATGGGTGGGGCCAGGGGTGCTGCTGAGGTTTGGAAGGCACAGGGCAGCGCCCAGCTCAGGGAACCATAACTACAGAAAACACACCAAGAGCAGCTGGGCAGAGCAGTGGACAACCTCAGCAGCAGGGCTGGGCGTTTAGGGGTTTTGTTGAAACAGACTTCTCAGTCTTTGGCCTCCACTGCTCCAGCACTGAGCGGGCTAGGCCAAAGGAAGACCAATGTCTGCATGACAGGAGAGCAGCTCCAGGAGGGAAAGCACTCGAGTCCACCCCCAGGGTAACCCCCAGTGGGAACAAGTCAACCTGTGTTGTAGTCAGGGGTTGTACACAGAGAACAATTAGGATCAAAACATGGAGTTTATAATATTATTTTTATAATGGTCACCAGGAGTTAACATGAAAAAATGCAGGAAATCTATCCACAACACCAAAGACATAGATTATTTAGTCAAGAGCCTAAACCCCATAGCAATGTCCCACATGAGTCCAGATAAAAACCCAGAGCTCAGGACAATGCCTCCCATGAGTCCAACTGGAGGTTCAGAGCCCACAAGAAGGACTCAGGCCACTCTCTTTTACAGATCCAAGCCAGGAAGGCCCAAGGGTCAGTGGTGGAAGCCAGAAAGTCTATGCCAGCAGGACAAAGGAGCTGTGCTGGTGGGATGAGGGTTCTACACTGGAGCTGAGAAGTCACACTCACAACAAAGACCAGGGCTGTCCTGAAGGCACTACAGCCATTGTCAGCGACACAGAGGCCCCGAGCTCCTCCAACGACACGCACAGTCAGGTACATGCCAGGAAGCAGCGTGACGAGTTCATCCTGGAGACCAAGCAGCACATGTCTTCCCCTCCAGAGCCAGGAAGCAATGCTCATTGTGAGGACCAAAGCTTCTCCAGGAGAACCAACAGCTCAGACAGCAACTCGTAGGAGAGCCCACAACGCCTCCTTAACGCCTCAACCCTCCACACCTCCCTCCTTCTCCACCTCTTTATCCTGGCAGCTTTCCTCAGGTGGAGCATCTTCGGTCAATGCCATGCTGATGTAATCCAGCTGGCGTTAAGTTGACCACCAGTTCTTAATCCATAACAACCCGTTGACTTGTTTTTCGGAAGACAGCGCTCACGGCTCAGGGAGAGTGGGCGGCAGGGCCCGAGGTGACTCTCCAGACTTTACATCGCCTTTGCTTGTTCATTTCAGTTCCGGCCCCTCTTCCTGGCTCTTCTCACCACTCCTCTTCTGCTAGGCCATTTTCCTCTTAGGAGCGCTAACAGTTTCACCCGGTCGTCGTGTGACCTTATCCCTACCTATGCCTTGTAAATCGTTGTCATGTGGGCTGTCAGGGCTGAATTTCCTTGCTGCTAGTAAACCTCTCTTCCATGTTATGCTGAGTCCTCTGATTTCATTTCTTGGGGAACTTGTGTTCTTCTGTTGTCTGGCTTGTGCCTTCCGGCCGGGCTGAGCTCTCTGTGTTCCCAGTGGGTGACTTTGGGAGGGCTCTAACTCCATCAGCCTTTGGTTTATCATCTGCTAAACCAGGACCATAATTATCTGGACTCCCAACCTCATGGGTAATTCCTAAAGAGAGAATGTCTGCTGGAGAGCTGTGAAACTATACAGTCCTGTGCAAGGGAAAGCACCAGGTTGTCAAGAGCCTATGCCTAGGAATACTTAACGGTGGAAGGAGGGGACCACTCTTCTTAGGCTTGAAGAAAGCAGGTTCCAGGGTCATTCTGATGTTAGGAAGAGGTCACCTGATGAACACTGGTCGTGCACACCCTCAGGGCTCTCCTCCAAGGTGCAGAGTGGCAGAGTACCCCACTGGGCCATCCATTAATTCAGTCAGTGTCTATCAGGCGTTTTGTACGAGCATTTTACAGGAATGTATGGTGTTGGGCTGAGACATAACACCATGGATGGCGTGTCCTAAATAACAGTTATTTCTCATTGTTGTGGAGGCTGGGCACAAGGTCTGGCATGGCGGGTTTTGGTGAGGACCCTTTTGCTGGCTTGCATGTGCTCCTCTCTGATGTACCCTCCCATGGTGGAGAGAGAAAGCGCTCTCCTCTCTTCCTCTTCTTTTCTTTTCTTCCTCTTCTTTTCAGGGCATTAATCTCATCATGGGGCCTCCACCCTCCTGGCCTCATGAGAAACTAATGAGCTTCCCGAAGCCCCGTCTCCAGACACCATCACATCATGGGTCAGGGTTTCAACGTTTGAGTGGGGGGGGCACAACCCAGCATTCGCACATTCAGGCTGCTTACCCCACGGCTCGGGGGACTTGCTGGAGCGCCCCTCGTCACGCTCGCCCAGTCTGACTGCACATCTGGAGCGGAGCTGCACATGCCGTACTTTTATGTGCGTCTGTGTGTGTGACACAGATGGACCACACCGTGTGACGAACAGTGGGGTGCTGGGCAGAGCGTGGGACTGGGTTAGACAGGCCTGGGCTTTGCTCCGGCTACTCGGGGGACCCAGCTCAGGGTGTGCTCCTGCCTCGGAGGACCCAGCTCAGGGTGTGCTCCTGCCTCGGAGGGATTCAGCTTGTTCGTCTGTAAAGTGGAACCAGTAATAGCATTTCACTTTTGGGGCTGCTGTGAGGGTTAACTTTAAATGACCGTTTAATTATTTATTAATATTATTGTTTAATGACTTGATTATGTATTCATCAGCACATGCAAAAACGACTTACATGCTTTCTGTTTGCAGCTTCTGGTTACTGAGCTCAAACTGTTTTCCTCTCTTCCTGCCGTCTTGTCACCTCTGTCTTGGTCCTTTGGACACCAAGAAGACTTTCTGTGTTGGGCCAAGAGCAGGTGCCTCACCATCACAGGGAAGAGTGCTTCCCGGCTGCCCGGAGTGTCCATACTTGGTAGGGCAATGCTGCTTGCTCTCCTTTCTCTCTTTGCCACGGAAAGAGGGGCCAGGGCCGGGTTTTGTTTCCTGTGCTGTTATTAAAACCAAAGGCCTGGCTTTCCTGTTTTTTCCGAATGCTCTAAATCTCTTGTTGGCTGAGTTCACTTTGTGTGTGACTGACACAATGGGGGAACCATAGCCCTTCTCCCCTGCAGCCACCAGATGGCGATGTGTCCTTTGCCATTGTTGGCCGGCCCCAAGGCTCTTCCCTCTTGTTGGTGCCCTGGCGGCCTGCTCCTCACACCAGGTCTGTGTCCAGGCCAAGAGCTCTCTCAGGTCATGGTGTCCCATCGCTGGGATGTGAGTGGGGCAGCCCAGCGTTCCTGTGGAAATCTAAAGCCCTGCAGGTACAGAGAGCTTATTTAGAGCTGGTCCTTGGAAAGTGGCTTCCCGTACTTTGGGATGGCCAGGCTGTTGTTTGCTAAACGCTCTGGTCTCATTCCGGGACACTGTACCCTGGGCACACAGCAGTGGGACAGTCGTGCTTGGGCTTCAGTTGACTTTCATCTCTTTCTTCCTTAAAAGCCCCCATTAGTGGCTTTTAGTTTAAAAGCCTTTATTACATCTCCTTGAATGCAAAACCACATCCCCACCATATTTGAAGTGCAAAGAGTAATGGCTTCCAACAGAAACAGCCTGTAGAAGCGAAATCCTTATATTTTTTAGGGAGAAAAGATTCAGCCCCAGCTCTCTCCGAGGCAGCTCTCCTGTGGCTTGTCTGATGGAAGAGCCCAGCAGCCCTCTGTGACTACGTGGTCTTTACCTGTGTGGGGAGGATCTGGGCTTCCGGACCTTTCATCTGTCCTCTGTTGCACTCACTGGGTGCAATCTGGAGTAGATGGCTCTTGCAGTTTACCCCCAGCAGGAGGCACAGCAGATGAGGTAACGCCAGGCCCCACCAGTGTGGGTTTCAGTCCTGGCATCGGCCTTTATTTCCTTTGTGTCCAGGGTGAGTTACGTCAGCTCTCTGACCCCACAATGCCTCATGGAGAAAATGGGTTGGGTTGGGTTGTTGTGAAGTGGGCATAAGGTCACGGAGGTGAGCCAGTTGGGGCAACGTCTGACCCACTGGGTGGGAAGTGGTTAGATGGCATCGTCGCCTTGTCACTTGGTCTCAGAAGGAAAGAGCTCAAGAAAGGAACAGAGAAGGAGGAGCCGAGACGTCTGAGTGGCACCCACCTTTGAACTCGATATCAAGACAGTAGAAAGACACATCGTTTAGAGTAGTCTCATGAGGGCAGCAGGACTCCCTGTCTCATCCTAGGTACGCTGGCCAGCCCTCCCTGCTGACTGGGCCCTCCTAAGACCTGAAAGTCCATGGTAGTGGGAATAACGACACCACTGAACCCCTCACCCACTTTTTGGAATGGGGAGGAGACACCCACTGTCACGTTTCGAGTGCTTCCTTCCCTGTGTTTTCTATCGCGTGCGTTTGCTTGTATTTAGCATTCTTTCCACGAATGCACCGTGGCCAGTGCCTTGTGCGCATTTCTGCCTTACCCAATGGGCCCCGAGCTATTACAGGGCACCAACTGCAGCTTCTGAGTCCTTTTATCCCCAGCACCCAACATCGAGCCAGGCACACAAAGGGTGTCTTTCTGTAGGTGCCTGCCTAGCACACAAATGTGGCTGAGTGTATGCACAAGGTGGACGTGAGGTGGGAAAGGGGACCATCGCAAGAGGAAGGTTTAATTGGAGTGTCACCTCCCCGCATGGGCTGAGATTCCCCGAAGACCTCTCTCCTCTCTGCAGAAGCCGTAAGAAAGGGCGAGGTGGGAGTGGGCAGCTGAGCAGAACATTGAGTTAAGTGCAGGCACTGACCCTTGAAAGGCCCAGCTCACCCAGGGAGAGCGGGCATCAGGGAGAGAACAGACGCGCATGGGTAAAACCTCCCAGCCAAAGGCCATGTGCTAAGTTCTATTCGGTCATTAAGATTCAGCAGAGAGAAGCCCAGCCTGTCTTGCAGGTGCCTGTTGAGAATTCACTGTACAAGCTCAGCCTGGACGCTAGAAGGACTTGTGAATTACGTCTCAAAACCTAGGGGGAAAATGCTGCGAAACGGCCTTTGTTATTAGACTTGTATTTTATCACCCTATTTTGGAAGGCTGTTTGCAGACAGGAAAGGCTTTCCCTGCGAGCCTCCCACAGGAGGAGAAAGTGTTCGATGTTTGTAACCTGTCTCCTTCCCTATTAATCATTCTGATTCTCTCATCCTGGGCCGATGTCACGAGCCTCTCTATTTGAAGACTGTATCCGTGTTTATCTTGTAGTCTTTAATAAATCATTTGCCGGTGGCGTGTGATCTAGGGCCCCCCACCCCCGCACTGTATTTCTTTGACAGTGTGTTGGGGTGACTGCTGCTCTGATTCCCTCCACGAGACAGAGAGAAATTGGCTATTTCAAAATTGTTGTTTGCTGAGAAAGAGAAATTTCACTTAATCTAATGACAATGCTTATTTTTTTAGAGGCTGCACATTAAAACAGAAACATTTAAGCCTGTGTTTCATGGTGCATGTGTGTGTGTGTGTGTGTGTGTGCACATGTGTGTTTCGGTCTGCCCCCTGCCCTCCTGTCTTACTAACATACACTAGTCTAGGGGTCTGCAAACCACCCTTAGGCCAAAGGTAGCCACTTCCTGGTTTGTCAATAAAGCTTTATTGGAACAGAAGCACAGCCATCGATCTGTATTTGTCCTTTCTGTGTTACAACAGCAGAGCTGAGTGGCCGCAACAGAGACCATGTGCCCAGCAAAGCCTAAACTATTTACAACCCAACTTCCTCAGGAAAAGTTGGGTGGCTTCTGTTCTAGACATTTCGTGGATATCATCAGTAGTTGATGGTGTCCATCTCTGCCTCAAGGGTCCTCCAGCTGTGTCCTCCACAAAATTCTGAGACCATAGCCTATGCACATGTCCATGTGCTCATTAGGCACGTGTGCATGCATGATGTAAGGCGTGTGTCTGGCACAACGGTAAAATCTGAAAGGTGAGTACTGACCGTGTTGGCAGTAGTTGTCTGGTGGCAGGACTTCACCTGGCCTCTCTCATGCCAGGTCCTTCAGTTCCTCCTGTTAGCTAGAGAATAGTGACAACAAGAACTTTCCTCTTTCCTGCAGGGCCTAATTGTCCCTGTGTGACTGGTGGGGGTGAAGTCATGTTCCCCTGAATGAATAGAGCAGGGCAGTGCCCTTGGTAGTTGGGAATTTAAGGAGCTCTGATGTGCGAGCACAGGATTGCCGGTCCCTGTCACAAAGAGGATGGGCAATTACAGTTAGATTGTTTTTTACACTAAACCAAAAGAAAACAATAAAATAGGTATATAATATGTACGTACAATCTGAAATTATTTTTCTCCATCTATTCTCCCCTTTTCTGTGTGCCATGTCTCTCCTCACTTATTATTTTTGATAGTCTGTAGATAGCAGTAATTCCAAAGGTTTTGGGGAAAATAAAGAAACTTTGAGGACCTGTTGGGA